ATCCTTACTTCAGCTGAGATGCTGCTGGGAAACTCCTCTTCCAGTGGTGGTGAGGTGAGTCTGGTACTGGGTGGTCTGTTCGGGTCTTCAAAGCGTGTGTAGAACTTGTTGAGGGCATCAGGCAGTAATGTGTCCCTAGGGCATTGCACACCCCTGCCCTTATAATCTGTTATACACTTAATTCCCCTCCACACTTACTTAATTCAACAGCAACGCACACACCTTTGTTACATGTGCGGCAAAAATGTTTTTACACCCCACTACTTATTTAGGAGCGTCTCTGATTCACATTCAATGAAATTCTTCATTTTGTGCATAGAGACATAAATGTTTAACATGCAGTCGATAATCTCTCATGTAAAACATATATTTTCATCTATTTTATATATTTAAATGTAGGTGTGTTGAGGGAGGAGTCAAGTGCGCTCAAATCCACATTGATTGGGATGTACAAAGGAAGTGTGCTTAGATTCATGCATACGCACGCTTTCATACATCTGGATTTATTTGTGCATACACCAGGTTTCAGTAGGAAATCCACGCAAGTCTTTGTACACAAGGCCCCTGGTCTAAATGATCTTTTCTCATAGCTGCTTCTGACCGAGCTCGTTTCTAATCGGCTGATTCAAGCTGACGTCCAGGTTTGACAAAAAACACTGATTGTTTTACTGTTTCATCGACATTAACATCAGCGACACAGTGACCTCTGTTAGTTTGCTGATAAGTTTTGTAAGTTGGTCTGAAGCATTTGTACAGCAGTGATTTAAAACCTCAGGTTTATCATCCATTAGATGAGGCTTGTGTACGGAGTCTTATCAGGTGATTAGACCCATGCAAGAGTTCAATCTGTTTACAAAAACTGAAGTTAAATACTCAAATTCAGGGCAAGGAAAACTGGGGGAAACTGGTACACTACAAACAGCAATGCTCCTATGTAATTTAAAGAGAACAGTTGGCTTGTTTTACATTAGACTTTTATTTTTACTTGAAATAAAATTGTTATATTTGTTTGTTTAAAAAAACATATATTTTAAAGTGGGCTTCTGTGGAAAGTTTAAGAGCAATTATAATCTTACCTGTTGTAGATAAGGCTTTGAATGACCTCAGTTTGGAAAACAAAGGTTAAATACGAACAAACTGACCAGCTAACAACCTGTGAGAGCAAAAATGAGAGTATTGCTGCCTTTTTAAACAGGTCCAAATATTTATAGCGATTCCAACAAATGCCTCGTTATAAACCTTTTATATCTCCATCCATTTAGCATTCAACAACTATATAAAGTTTTGTGGTTGTTTGCGAGTGCAAATTGCAGCAGCACTTAGTTGTAGCGCTTCCTGTTCAGTTTTTGGGCATTTCCAGCATGAATGTCACAAGATTTCTGCTGGAATAATAATGTAACGTAAAAACTGATAGAGGTTTATTAAAATAATCTTTACATGTAGTGCTGTAAAACCTTTCAGATTATTTATTTTAAGACGGTAATCCACTTGGGTTTTGATCTGATTTTGATCTCACTTGAGTTTTTTGAGATCCAGATATAAGGACTGTGGAGAACAGATACCAAGACTCAAGATGTATTTACAGTGTTTATTTACAGAGTGGTAATTATGCAATGAGCCACGGAGGGAGCTGGAACCTTGAAGAGCAAGGAGATGATTAGTGGTCTGTTGGCAGGGGTGTTCATGCTAATGTTGATCTTTCTTACAGTGGAGGTAGGAGTCAGTAGTGGGGGGGAGCTGACCCAAATGGTTCCAAGAGAAGGTGGTGTACGTCTGTTTGTACAATAGCAGTGATAGGTAAGAGACATGGCGAGCTTGAGGTCTACAGAGGAGAATCCAGGAAATGGGAGGGCATCAGGGATTAATCACATTGGCAGGTAATGCTCCAGCTTTGGCTGAATGTCCTTTGCAGCCTTTTATGCTCCTCATGCTCCTCAAGCTGAGAATCCTGGCTGTAGGTGCAGAAGCTGCCAGAGCAAACTCCCACAAGTTTGATATGGTTTAAACTCTTTTTCTTCTTTGTGAGATTGTACAAAGAGCTATCTACAGCAGGTTAAGAAATTAATTGTTCTTAACCGTTCCACAAAACTCTACCCTAAAAACCTGAATTATCATTTTTTAGGTTTTCAGTAGTGTTTTAACTTGTTGATTCTACAGGATTTTACCAGTTTCATATTGTCGAGCGTGAAAACTGTTAAATTTACATTAGAACTACTAATGAGTCGGGTTCGTCTAGTTTGTGCGTGTCGTTTTATAGTCTATGGGTTCTGCGTAATGTATGGGTTAACTAGCAACAGGCCACCATCATCCCTGTAGTGGAGTTTATGATCCATACAGGAATTGCTGTTTTTTTTTTTTTTTTTAAATCCCATTTAACAAATTGGGATGTATAATGGGTAAGAAAAGGAAAGTTTTGTGTTTCGATCACACTTGACAACAATTCAACATCTGTGCTTTTATTGAAAGTAATAAGACTCGCTGTTCTGAAGGAGCAACCTTTGAGTGATCGTGGCACCACAGGCTTTTACTTGAACTGAAAGAGCACAATATAAATGAGCCTGCTTAGTGATACAAAAATTGTGCACAAATGTACATATTTAGGTATGAGTATTAAAAAAATGGTAATTTTTACACTTTTTAAAAGAGAAAACGTGATTGATCAAATCCTCCACAAAACTAAATGTTGTCAATAAAAGATATTCACTGTAGCACTGATGGTACACAGACATGTGCAGAGGTGTGCAGATGTTTTTATTAGCTGGGCCACAAATACCAGTCAATATTAGAGCATCAATCGTGTCTGACGGCATCAATTGCTCAAAGTGCAGGGATCTTGAACGTGTGAGTCAGCCAAAATGATGTAGAGGGGTTTTTTTGTTTTTTGTCTGAGCCTAAATGTTCTGATTATTTGATTGTAAAAAGATCTAAAATCAAGAGAATTTTTATTTTCAAGTCAGACAATCTCCAGCCAGCCCATCCTTCTGGGAGGATTTAGATGTTCCCAGGCCAGTAGAGAGACAGTCTCTCCAGCGTGTTCCGGGTCGTCCCTGGGGTCTCCTCCCAGTCAGACATGCTTGAAAAACCTCCCTAGTGAGGTGTCCAGGGAGCATCCTTACCAGATGCTCGAACCACCTCAACTGGCTCCTCTCGATGTAGAGGAGCAGCTCATTTTGACTGCTTGTACCCGTGATCTTGTTCTTTTGGTCACTACCAAGTGTTTGTGACCATAGGTGAAGGTAGGAACAGAGAGCGATCGGTAACCGTAGAGCTTTGCCTTGGAGCTCAGCTCCTCCACAGCAGACCAGCACAGAGTGCAACACTGTGAAAACTGCCCCAATCTTAACTGTATTAAATACACTGAACTGCAGAACAGGTTCTACTCACGTTACTGTCTTTCAGTTTGGTAAGTTCATTCTTCATAAGTGCATCTTATTTTATTGTCCATTTGACCACAAAAATATTCACAAGGTGCTCAGATTGCCTTGATGAAAACCAGTAAAACAGAGATGTGTGTTAAAGTCCCAACGGGTCGCACTTTTATTGCAACAGAAAGGAAATGGAAGGAAACCTCTTGGTTGGTCTGAGTTTATATCTAATGCTCACATGTGGAGAAACATGACTCTATGGCAATTTTTTAATATAATCACTGACGTCGGTGTTTGTTTTGTTCTCCTGTTTTAACTCCCTCCTGACACGTTATGCTAATGCTGTAGTTGTCATTGTTGACCTTTCTGTCATCTGTTCTAAGCTACTCATTAAAAGGTTAGTTTATTAAATACAAATTATCAGTTTAACCACAATAATAGGCATTTATTTTAAACCACAAGACTTTTGACTTAGCTTAAAAAAGACAAGTTTAAAAAAAGTTATGATTTGTTTGTATGTTAGATTTCACTTGAGCTTTTTTTAATTTAATTTTTTTTTTTTTTTTCAGGACATGCTGCACTGTGCAAAAGTATTCTCAAGTCATCCCTCATTTCTTATGCTGTCAAGAAATAAAACTTTTTAATTTTAAAATGGTCTTAATCAAAAATTCCTCAGGCTTTCTGAAAGTGTCTTAATTTTTATTTATTCATTTAAACTTTGGCTGCTTCATACTCTTGCATCATATACAAACAGTGATGATGCATTTCTTTTTCTTCCTTGAGGCAGCCGTGCATGCATGTGAGACCAGTAGTCCTTTTGATTGACCAAAGACCTATTAGGGTCTTATACAGCAGAGCACCATTTTTGGCTCATGGTTAATTTAAGGACTAAGGTATGGATTGAGTTTAGGGTCAGGTTTAAGCTACAGAAATATCTGGAAATGAGTGGAAGTCAATACACAGTCCTAACTCCTAAGTCCTACAAACTGTGTGTGTTTCTGGTATCAGAAAACTCTTCTTGTGTCTGGTCATATGGTGAACACAGCAGTCACCTGCATGTTATTAGCCCGAGCACAGAGCTGTGTGTTGTGTTGGTGTGTGCGTGTTTTATAGATGAGTTTATTATTCCTCTGAGTTCCTGACAAACAGGAATCTAAATCTAAAGTTTGTCACTGCGGTTGGACACAGAAGCTGTTGTAGTTGCTCTTGTACCGTCAAGTTTGTGAAAATGGTGATTGTTCCAACAGCGTTAAGTTATTTTCCTTATTTCTTCTGATTCAACGTGTGAATCACACTGAGATGATGTGAACAGCAACAGCCCCTCATTTTTGTTTTGTTCCTTTTTCTGTTCTTTCTCTAAAAGTACAGTTAAAAATTACCAACTGGAGGAACATGTAGCTGAACCGTGATAGTATGAATATTTAATGGTGGAAGCTGTAGGATTACATGCATCGTTTTTTTTTTAAAGTTTATTTAGGGCCTGTTTGGTCTGAAATGTTTGGTGTGTTTTTTTTTTTTTTTTTAATTTATAGCGTGAAATGTCATAATATAAACTCAAATTATTGATTGAAGTTATTGGGAAACGTTTTCAGCATGGTATTCTTCAGCTTTTGTTTTCTTGTTCTGGTTCTGTAGGTGCTCACGGTCCGACCTGTCGCTGGCTCTGGAGGACTGCATGGCCGCCTTGGATCTGTTCCTCAGAAATGAATTTGAGGAGGCGCAGGCTCGCCTCCAAATCAAGTAAGAGCACACAACCTGAATCAGACAGATGCCAATGTCACCTGGCTTTGTGTGTTTGTGGACAAACCCAATGACACAAAAACCTCATTTTTTGATTTCTGCACAGAAGCAGACATGAATTCAGTGATAGAAAGGCAACATTTTAAACAGGAAGCAGCACATTTGACATGTAAGATTGGTAAAAACTACTCAGAATGGCTTTAGTTGATTTGTTGAGCTTCAAACTCTTGTGGCTGTACATGGAAACAGAACTCGGGTTTGACTTAAGCATATTGCTATGTAGGATCAATTTGTTTAAATAGAGAAAAGCCACCTTGTGCTTGAGCACTGCATTGTCAGTATAATTTTGTTCTGCCTTTTTTTTTTTTTTTTTCTGAATCAGAATAAGCTTTATTATCACTGTACCAAAATACAGCGAGAATATGTCCGTACAGTCGTCCAAAAGATGGGCGGAGTGCACGTAGCTGCTGCTATGATAGCGCGGCCTCTTATCCTTTTCAGAATACATTTTTTAGATAGAAAAAGGGACAAAGCCATGAGGAGAGTATAGTAGCATTACAAAAAAGATCTCTTCACACCTTGTCCTATCAGGACAAGATTTAAGACATCAAAAACCTCTGCCAGCAAGCACCTTTATAAGCACGTTACATATGCATTTGACGACAAGGCGGTCCATTAAGCCTCCACAGAAGTTCCAGGGAAGGTGATAGACAAAGCTTTTCCTTAGTTTACACATTTCCCAGGAAAAATTTGATAAGTCGGCCTGTTTTCTAGGCCAACCGGGGGAGTCAGATTCAGATAAGCCACAATAGTTGATTTTTACAGGCAGACTATTTTTCTTGTCAGTTTTGAGTCTTACTGGTACTTCCAAGATCCGAAATGGCCAGATTACAGTGCATTCTACTTTACTGTGCTTATGAGCCCCTCCAAGGTCGTTCCAACATGCTGGCGAGTCCCAAACCGCAGGTGGCCTGCAACTCAAATCACTTCCATCTTACAGTTTAGCTCGTAAATCAGCTGATTTTGAGTCCTCAAAGCACAAACCAAACCTTCACAAGCAGGCAGCCTGACGAGGGCCTAATTAGCTGCAGCTGTCTTCTTTGTATGTCGATAAACCAGGAACCAGACAATTCCAAAAACAGGAAAACCGTTATCAAAAATCCAATATGCAATTTAGGCGTTCTCGATCGACATCAGAGATAGACACATCACATTCCACTTCCCCCAGAGACATACCATATTTTGTGATGTGTAAGTTGCTCCGGAGTATAAGTCGCATTAGTCAAAAAAGCATCATGAAGAGGGAAAAACATATATAAGTCGCTTCAACGTATAAGTTGCATTTATGCGTCACCGCTGACCCGTTTTGTTTATTATGCATTTATTTAATGGTCAAAACCTCTTCATTTCGCCTGGGCGGCGCAGCGCCATCCATCCATCGCGGCTAGCTCTCCAGCATTCCTCCACCTGTACCAGCTGAGTGGAGCAAGCGTGCACGGGAGGATTTGCTGTGGTAGTTCTTCGAAATTTAAAGCGTCAGTCAAAAATTGCCTTATGAATATGGGAAGAAAAAAAAACTATATAAGTCGCTTCTACATATAAGCCGCAGGACTGACAAATCTATTCAAAAATCTGCAACTTATACTTTGGAAATTACAGTATCCAGCTGCACGTGTCCTCCGGGCAGACCTGAGGGTTCTCCAGGACCCTGTTGCTTTGTTGAAAAGATTTTGTCATTTGCGTCGAAAGTCCAGTTGGTCAGATCCATAACAGTAGTTTTCATTTTGGAAGATGTGCAAAAATAGTAGCTCCTATAGACAGAGAGCAAAAAAGCAGAAGGAGAACAGGGAGAGGGAAGAGAATGTGTGCGCCTCGTTCCAGAGCAAGTGAGAAAATAAAATAAAATAAAAAGCGTATTTAAAACTAAATTGTCAGGTTTGTGAACAAAACTGGTTAAATCAAGCAAAGTGACCTCTAACCATTCAGCTGCTGAGTTGCTCTCTGACCTTTTGACTTGTATACTATTTTTGGCTGCTGAGCATTTCTTCAAGTAAGTGAGAGAAATAACCGTTTTAGTTTTTGTACTACTACCAGGCTACAGAAGTGGGCTGGTTAACATCCTGGAAGCTTTTCTGTGGTGGATGCTCCAGTTTGGCCCACAACGGATCCAGAATAGCCCAGTTTGTCCACATACATGTTCAGGCTCCATCAGTAACCCAGATGTAAAACAGTTCTTATAAATCTGGGTCCATCTAAAGGGAAGGCTGAGCTACATTTGTTCGCTTTAAAGTTTAGTTACAACTAATCGTCTGTGGCTGCCTCACTAGCGGATCATATAACAAATTTGACACATAAAAAGCTTGAAGTGTCACAATGAGTGAAAATCAAAATGTTTGCATCACCAATGGACAAAACACTTTAATATATTTCTCAGATCCAGTAAAGTTAAGTCAGGTCATCTGGACGTGTTTTTTTTATTATTATTTTTTTTTAGACGTTTTGTCGTTCATCCAAATGACTTCCATCAGTCCGAGGAGTCACAACAAACTCAATCTCACAAGCAGCACTCACATATATATACAGCTTATTTGCACTGCTCCTAATCAGCCCCAACTCTGCTCAGCCTGGATTTGCACCGCATTTTAGGACCGATTCTGGAGGCGAGCCCAGAATCCAAAATCCTGCTAATGAGAGTTCTGTGATGAGTTAAACTCCTCAAAGCAGTCTGCTCCTCAGATAAATAATGTTAAATTATTATTTTTATATATGAATGTTTATGTTTATATGAATATTTCTGGTCAGTGCCCTGAGACGACTTCTGTTGTGACTTGGCGCTATATAAATAAACTGAACTGAATTAAATCTGATGAACCAGATTCTTTGTTGGACTTTGTTTAATTTTTTTTACCTGTATTACTGAGCATGAACTTTGATATACTGTATTTCTCAGAATTTCTTGGTGTTTGGTTGTTTTGACTTCATAAAACAACCCTGCTTCAAAGTGGCAGCAAAGAGAAAAGTTTGAAAGTTGTAGCTAGTTTTTTAATAGACCATCATGTGTTTATTTTAAAACCAAATTAGTTTGAGCAGCCCTGATTCAGACCTTACATTTAATATGTATGAAACTCCGCTAATTCACTCTTTCCCATTACGTTCTGTATTAAACTGAGCTGGGGGGAATTTTATGCTTTTGACATTGTCAATGTTTTGGCTTTTGAACATTCAAAATAATTATCTGATGTTTTAAGAGTGTTAGAAATGATTTTATTTATTATTTAAGGACACATTTGTTTGGCTCCCAACGCTTTATGGAAGTGGAACAGGTCTAGTAACTGTACAGTATTTTACTGAGGGTCGTGGGTCAGAAATAGATACTTGTGTCCACACAGCAGTGTGTGTTAGGTTGTATATAATGTTCTGCTTTGAGTTACAAACACAATGACACTCTTACCCAACAGTCACGCCCTGCCTGACTTTCTGTTCTCCCGAGCTGTCATCAAGTTACTCCATTATTCCTCTCGTTCTCTGGGCTTTTATCACAACCTTTCTCACTCTGCTGCGGATACTTCCTCCATGTTGCTCTGAGGGTTGTGGGCCACTCCTTAGCTCCAGATTCTTCTTTCCAGCTAAGCGCATAGTTTGAAAATCTTTGTCATTTTGTACCAAGGTAGATTATCAGATATAGTTTGTTTTATTTTAATGAGCCAGCATTTAGTGTGACATTAATCGTTTATTTTATGTTTTTACTCAAACATTTTTATAGACCTGTTTCCACAGAGCAGAAATACTTTGTTGCTGGGTAGCTTCCTTTCTGGCAACATTATAGTTTTATCCTTATTTGTGTTGGGATTTATTTGTACTTGATATTTTAACTTGCTTGCAACTAGGGCTGAACGATTTTGGAAAATATTCTAATGGCGAGTTTTTACCTCAATATTGCGATTGCCATTTTAATATGCTATTATTTTTCATTACCTTCTTCTCATGTATTTTTCAATGAACACAAGCAATAAATCAATCTGTTTCAGTTGCAAAAAAACTCTTTGTTTTCAGCTTCAATGCAACTCTGTTTCTGCATTTTTTGTGTAGCTCCGGGATAGCAACTTGGCTAAAATGTGTGCACGAGGGCATTCTGTACCACTTATTCATTGTGTTTGCCAAAGCTGTAAACCCAGGCTTGGATACTATATTAATGGCCATCATGTCTTTCGCTATGAACTCTGTTATTGCTCGAGTTATTTCCACGTGCCGTTTCAAGTTATGTTTATACAGAGTAATATCTTCAAACAGTTCGGTCAGTGATCCCTGTCGGCTGGTACTTTGCTTACTTGAAGTTGAAGCACTGGTCGTTGGCATTCTAGCCGTGCATCTATCGTAAATGGCTTTGCGGTGTTTTGTTGAGTGTTGATAAAGATTTGTGGTGTTACCTCGAGAGGTATCAACAGCAACAAGGCAGGTTCTGCACAATACATGTCGTTGTGCATCGTCTTCTTTTTAATAGCCAAAATAATTCCAAACAATGGACGTGCTGCTCCTCTTTGGTACCAAACTTTCAGATGGGTCCGCTTCTGTCGAGCCTGACGCCGTTGTGCAACCAGTTAAACCACAGTGTTGACTTCTCCAGCTCCCTGCTCTGCTCTGCTCCACTCACTTGCAAGTCATGTAATCAGATCACGTGACCAATCAAATTTCAGCCTTTGCAATTAAGAAAATCTCTTTTTTTAATCATATCGCGATATTATCACAAATGCAATTAATTGTTCAGCCTTACTTGAGTGCTCTGTTTCCTAATTTTCTTACTAAGATTCCTGCCTGTTGCTTTCCCTGAGAGCATCTTTAGTAAAAGTTATGCTCTTTTATGCATTGATTGAGTTGACCATGCATATTAAGGTGAATTTCAGAATTTTATTTTTCATTTTTCTTTTAGCCTTTATTTATCCAGGTAGTCTCATTGAGCCACGGGAACTCATTTTCAAGAGAGACCTGTTTAGGGAGCACAT